AATGCGTGAGCACAATTTTGGCGGCCGTCGCGAGTCCAGCAGGAAACTACAGGGGCCTGTCAGGCCATCGCAGCACAGCGGCGGGGCATCAGCTGGCGGGACGAACTGCCACGCACCTTTTGTCTTCTTTGCTCAGCTATTGCAGACGCTAAAGTTGGAATTGTGCCAAACACACATATATCTCAGTGATATGCCGGTCAAATTAAAGTCAGTGCACGTATCTCTCGTGTCAAATAATAGGACGTAGAAGGTGATGCCAGAACTATCAGTAGCTACACTAAAGGGTATTTATACGCACCTGTAAAGTGCGTTTGTGACACGTTAATCAAAGTGGAGATGGAGTGATGGTCAGGGCTGGAATTTTTGCTAAATTGAAAAGGGAAAGCGAAAGGAAGAAGAAAGGTTCTGGGTGCGGTCATTGCTGCGTGGCCGAGATCACCAACTCGGTACGCTTGAGAACTCGGTTCAATCACAGGTGCGTTGCACTGGTTTCGAACCCATGGGCTCAGCAGTGCCAGCTCAATGTTATGACTTTCCGAGCCAGCCGGGCCACACCTAGGCGCAATTTATAAATCTCTGCCTGATCCGCCAACCCTTGCCTCCAAAGGAGTACGCCACCGCGACCCTCATAAAAGTAATCAAACTGTTAGACAAGCGGCTGCGCCTTTGCTCTCTAATTATCCTCTCGTGTTTCATTAGGAGGGCATCTCACTTCACTCCTAAAATGAAACCCTCCAGACCTCTCCGCTGAACCTGAACGCACCCCCCTACCACCCCCGAATCCAAGCATGCTCGCTCGTACTTATGCACCCACCCACCCACCCACGCTACAACGGCAACTGGAGGCACACAGAGAGAGAGAGTGGGCAGCTACAGCGGAGTGGGGGTAGTAGCGGCACTCACGCTCGCGCACTCCGAACAAGCGGCAAACGAGACGGGACTGTCCGAGCGGTAAATCCGACGCGGCCGTAGGAACGGTGGCGTCTCGGCACAAAAAAAAAACACAATCCATTTACCCGCCATTACAACACCCGCGGGGTACACCTCGTGCAATGCGCATAGCCACCCCGGCGCACCCGATAAGCCTTCTGCTGACGGCACGAGGAATTAACGAGCACTCTCCTTTGCTCATCCTCCCTACGCGAGCAAAGCCGAGCACACCCTGATTTTAGCGCGTTTTTTTTCACCTCGGAGAAACGTTCACTCAGCAGCAGCATCATTGGCATCGCACCCAGCAATGCACAGAAACTTCGAAGCGAGACACAATATATCTCTTTTAATTCGTAAAATATACCTCGAGTGTGGAACATCTTACGTATGTGCGCGCGGATGTGCACGACTGTCAGCGAAGGAGTTAAAGTGATGTTTGTGTTGCCGGCTTAAAAGCGATTCTGAGTGGACGCTATTGTGTCTGGAGAAAGGGCGGACGGGGCAGCGAATGGAGCCAATCGCGGCTCGCGCACTCAGCGGCGGCACGGCGAGGTCACGGCCGCCGCTGGGAAAGCCGGAACAATAGCAGCCCTCCCCCAGGCTCGGAATGAATCGGCAAGCGCGAGGGCACGCGGCGAGAAAGCATCTTTGCACGCGACTCTTGAGATGGACCATGGGTGGGTGTTTGTTTTGTTCAGAGGTCGTCGTCGTCAGCAGGAAGCGAAAACAAGATGCCCGGTTTTGTTAGGCGCGACCGGCGTAAAGGCACGAGGTCTCACAACAATACGTCGTCGTGTTTTTAATCACTCGGTCGGTGCGAAGGTCATGTTTCGTCACAGCCATGTGGCTAAGTGAGCGTGGCTTCGCTGAGGAAACGGACGAGCGACACACGCAGACTAATACGCGATGACATCGAAGTCCCCCTCGCCACGCAACTGTCGACTCTTTATAATCACCTCACTTGCAGTTGTCTTCGAGACACATCATTATCTGTTTGCCTACAAGTGCAATAATCACCTTGAATCTAAATCTTTTTTTGATGATTTTGTAATAAAATTTACGATTAAAAGTTTTTAATGGTAACTTGTCCGAGACAAATTCTACGAACGGAAATGTTTTTTTCCTTTATATTTATTATCTTTGTGAGTGTGTTCGTTGTGTTTGTTAAAAGCGATGCACAAAAACTTGTCGACAGGAACACGTTACAAGTTGTCCCGTTTTTGTTTAACATTCCCACAAGCACTCAGAGTCTATGGGTCTCTGTGTGGTGAGTCTATGGGTCTCTGTATGGTGAGTCTATGGGTCTCTGTGTGGTGAGTCTATGGGTCTCTGTGTGGTGAGTCTATGGGTCTCTGTGTGGTGAGTCTATGGGTCTCTGTGTGGTGAGTCTATGGGTCTCTGTGTGGCGAGTCTATGGGTCTCTGTGTGGTGAGTCTATGGGTCTCTGTGTGGTGAGTCTATGGGTCACAGTCCCTGTGATCATTGTTACGTTGCAATTATGGCTTTATTTTTTGGTGATGTCGAAAAGTTTTTTGGTTTGGACATGTTTGTTTTGTTGTAGTACGGAGTTAGACTGATGGCCTTAATCTAAGTTTTCTTGTGGTTGTTGGTGTTTGACTTGCATCCCACTGGGATTTTTTGCACACAGCGTTGGTGTACGGTGCTTTTTTCAGGAATATTTTGCTGTTTTTTTTCATGGATTTTATGTTTGCACAGTCACATAGTCACTTTAAGATGTTTTTCTTGTTCGTGTTTTTGTTTTTTTGTTTGCTGTGGTTGCACCCAATTCAAGAGCCGAATGGCTCACAGGGCTATACCAAAATAAATAAACTGAAAACTGAATATTTCGGCAAATGCACGCAATTGTTTTTTTGGCCCGATTTCTATTTTGCTTAGTTGATGCACTTAAGGTTAACGTCATTTTGCTGTTGTCAATTCGGTGGACCCAGGTCCCTCTTGCAAATGGGCCTCATCCCCGGTTGCCTCGTGCGTTCTCTGCTGTTCAAACAAAATAAAGACTAATAGGGTTTTTCCCCTTTTTTCTTGCAACAAAACTGAAACCTTTTGCAAGGAATCGTGTTTACATGAACCACAATACATGCAGTCAGAATGCAAACAAAAAACAACACTGATAATTTATGCATTGTCCTTGAAACCGATTGAAAAGGGGAAAAACCCTATTATTATATTTTGGCACTGGCACAGGAGGCCTCATGATGTAGATGCTTTACCGAGCTTTCATTACTCTGATAGTGCGTTGTCTTTGAACTGTGCGCCATTTGGCGTCATCTGGTCGAACACCGTATGAGACTAGGCTCTAAAGAAAGCTGTCTCTGGTGTGGACCAATCAGTTTCAAGGACAATACCTCAATAATCAGTGTTGTTTTTTGTTTGCATTCTGACTGCAAGTATTGTGGTTAATGTAAACACGATTCCTTGCAAAAGGTTTCAGTTTTGTTGCCAGAAAAAAGGGGAAAAACCCTATTATTATATTTTGGTACTGGCAAAGGAGGCCTTCGTGATGTAAAAAAAAGACTCTCAACTCGAAAACTCGATTCGTCTTTTCGTGAGGCATCGGCTTGGTGGACCGCACTGATTGGTGGCCAGGAGACAGCAGCAGAGAAAGAGAGTTCATGAGCCCATCTGTGGGAGGGGGACCTTTAAGTCTCGTTATGTTATCCCTTCGGATCTGTGTTTTCTCCGGGTAATACAGTTTCCGCCCACACACAAGACGCAAAACACTCTTTATTTTAAAAAGGAATTGACCAAACATCCCATGATAAAAAGTCAAGAGACTCACTTATTTATGCAGGCTCTCCCTGAACAAATGAAATCGTTGTTATTGTTAGAAATGTTTCAGGTTTCGCACGCTTATCTTCTCAAACTTTTCCTTTCAAGAGCTATTTTATTGACAGAGAAAATAAAACCGGTTCAGCGCGACGGTTTGTCGTTAAGAACGTATACGCAACCTCTTGGAGGAACAGCGGGGTTGTGGCAACACTTTGAGGGGTGAACCACTTGATCTCACATCAAGTGAATTATTTGGCGATGATTGCTGCAGTTTATTTCATTGAAATACTTTTTGATTAACCAAAAAGGGTTTTGTACGTTAACCCAAAAGCCGCTATTGGCGCGACAATAGCAGTTCTCCGGCGAACTGGACAATATTAGTCGCACTACTCCCAAAGATATTATCACATAGCTCCCAAACTTAAACCTGGACTATAACGTAAGCGTATTTGAAACACGCCAGACGAAAACTGGTGTAACGATTGAAGTGGCAATTTAAAAAAACGGTCGTCAAAAAACATATTTGTATGGCAGGGGGAGGGGGGGCAGAGGAGGGGGGATCCCATATCATTTAATTCCTCGCACCAATGGGCCACGCCAACCATGTTACACTGCCACAATCATCATCACCACCATCATCACCAGCACCACCACAAAGATCACAGCCAAACGAGTGCACAAGCTAGCGATGACACAGGCACACACGTGCGTGCTTGCGTGTGGATAGGTGTGTACGTGGGTGGGTGCGTGCATAGGTGGGTGGGTGCGTTCATGGGTGCGTTCATAGGTGCGTGCTTGCGTGTGGATAGGTGTGTGCGTGGGTGAGTGCGTGCATAGGTGAGTGCGTGCATAGGTGAGTGCTTGCGTGGGTGAGTGCATAGGTACATGCTTGCATGGTGAGGTGTGTGTGTGGGTGAGTGCGTGCATAGGTGAGTGCTTGCGTGGGTGCGTGGGTGAATGCATAGGTGCATGCTTGCGTGTGGATAGGTGTGTACATGGGTGGGTGCGTGCATAGGTGAGTGCTTGTGTGAGTGCTTGCATGGGTGCGTGGGTGAGTGCATAGGTGCGTATGTTGCATGGTGAGGTGTGTGTGTGTGTGGGTGAGTGCGTGCATAGGTGCGTGCGTTGCATGATGAGGTGTGTGTGTGGGTGAGTGCGTGTATAGGTGCATGCTTGCACGGTGAGGTGTGTGTGCGTGCGTGTGTGCGTGCATAGGCGCGTGCGTTGCATGGGTGCGCGAGTGTGCATGAGTGCACGACATCTCTCGCCGGCGACCGTACCGGTTGTGAACTGCCCCTTGAGCTGCTGGAAGACGGGGTCCTGGGCGGTGGCCTGTGCGCGGCGAGCGAGCGACTCGGACGCGGCGCTCGAGAAGATGGTGGAGACGTTGGAGACGTTCTCGAGGCCCACGCCGAACGTGCTCACCAGCTTCTTGACGAAGTTGAGCGTGTGCGGCGTGATGCGCGCCTCCGTCACGCCGCCGCGCGTCTCAAACGCCACCGAGTAGCACTTGGCCAGGCCCTGCTGCAGCTGCCTTAGCACCTGCGTTCGGCAAGGACGGTCGTGCGGTTCGTGACGCGTCGACGACCACCGCGCCTCCAAATTGGCACGGCTGGCTACGTACGGTACGAAAGAAGTTCAACGTACACACACGTGTGTGCACAATCCTTGTTTTCTTCTCCTAGCACGTGTAAGCTACACGTCCAGGTTTAAGCTTGTGAGGCATGCGACGGATTCTCGAGCAGGGCGACTAATACTGTCCACTGTATTGATGTAGGTTTGCACGGCTCGATGTATGAGAAATGCTTTTATAAGCTACTCTCACCCGATACAGTAGCTGTTAAGAGCTTTTCTAATACCGCCCAGTCCACCGGAGAGCAGGCCTAGTAGAATGATGCCGTTATTTCACAGTGTGGTGGATTGTTCAATTTGGGAGTCTGCTGTCACTGCAATGTGGTTCTCTTTTTAATTTGTACATGGTGCTGCAGTGGTGAGATGTTAACTACCCTGCCTGGTATACAGGAGGTCGTGGGTTCGATCCCGACGCTGACGCCTGCTGCTGTATATTTGGAGTGTGCATGTCTCTCTACCCGTGGATGCGTGGATTTTACTCCGGGCCATCCAGATTTTTCCCCTCCACATTTAGAATGAAAGTGCGTTCAGAGCATTTGGCTGCTGCTATAAATGTCGACGCGATGATACGCCCACTTGGTTGAGCTATCGTTTGTGACAGCCAGGTTCGCTTCTGAAAAAGAGCTGCATAGTTCAGTGGTACCTTCCCTGGTAAAATATTTCTTTTTTTTTATATATAGAATGCAAACGTTGGGGAGGGGAAACAGAGGCCACTTGCGAGCAATCAACCCGGGGACCAGGTGCCCTCAGGATAGCAACCGGCAAAAAAGGTGACTGGGTTGACTGCCCTGGTGACTGGGCAATGATCGGGAACGAAATAATTTTTAAGGGTGGGGGAGAGGAGGAGCGGTGGTGGTGGTGGGGGGGGGGGTACAGAGAAAATGTACCCAACTGTGGATCATCCTTAATGTTCCACTTGTGGAAGAGTTGTTGTGTGAAGCGACCAGTCGCTGGTCTGTTTGGGCCACCCATGATTTAGACACGGTTCTCACATTGCAGCGGGACCTGTGAGAACGTTGTGACCCCGTGCCCTGACTTGACATGTGCGAAAAAGAGCTTTATAGCTCATTGGATTCCTCCAGTATAAATACATATTCTGATTCTGAGAAGGCCTTAGCCTGTCCACCAGTAAGTGCACCACAAACAAGATTTGATGCAGCCTTCTACTCAATTGTTTCAGAGGGCTAAAAAAAAATCGAAACACTTTCATTGACAAATAATGAAAATATCCATATCCGAAGATGCGACAAGACGCAACACTGAGGGTGAATTCGAAGTCATTGAAGGGATCCCTAAAAGTATTCGTGACCGTCTTTAGGGGCCATTCTGGCACCGAGGGTGAAGGTTCAGTGGCATAGCGATGGGGTGTGCAGGCAGGGGAAAGGGCATCGGGGCCCCAGGCACCGGGCTACGAAAAGTGGAGAGATGGCACAGGAGGAGGGGGCGACTTTCAGTGCCTATCTCACCAGGGCCCCCACGTGAACCAAGGCCTTGTGCCACGGGTGACGTTCCACTGCGACGGCGCGGGGTTTCCAGCGGAAACGAATGTCTCACAACAACACGACTTGGATAACTCAGGTGGAATATAATTGGGACCAACGCTAAAAAAAAAAAGACTTCATACGATATTCTCATCCACAGCTTGCGTTGCACGTGTGTACCCAAGCGACGTAATGATCAATCTCCTTCATGGAAACATAAATTCGCACGAATTGAGGGTCCCAATTTCAATTCACAAATGACACCGACGACGCGAACGGAATATAATTGGGACCGTAAAAAGGAAAAATGAAATCCAGAACACTTTTCACACCCCCCCCCCCACCTTGTTAAATCGATTAACGCGGCGACCGCTGATCAATAATGCTGATGGACCACATGGCAGCACCACACCAGGGACTCGTGTCCACCAGTGTTGCGAGAGTCATAACAATAAGGAGCTAATGAGACATGGTGGTCGTTCTGCAGGGACATTTGCCCACCGATATTAGAACGAGGAATTGACACGAACACCTCGGTGGGCTGACAATTCCGCCAATTGCCACCGCAGCGCTTGTGCCAGGATTGGTGCGCTTTGAGGCTAAGTGAAGTTCGGAAGGCTCGCTGCTGGCAGGGAGTCATGCAAGCAGACCCAGGTGTTGTGGGTCGAATTACTGATATAACTGTCACCTGTGGTGCCCACTGTGCCAACTTTGCTCGTTGCACAAAGAAACAGATCCCCCTCATAGCCTTAACAGACTGTTGGGGCAAGTGCTACTAGTGGGCTCCTACGAAGGCCGGCATGGCACACGAGGGGGTGGGTGGTCAACACCACGCATGGCTGACTTTATCTTCCAAGTGGCGATGTTTTACATACCACAACAGGTACTCATTAGTGTCTATCTAACCACTACACTACTCCCAACACAAAGATCCCCCATATAGTCTTAACAGACTGTTGGGGCAAGTGCTGTTAGAGCGCACTTATGAAGGGCGGAATGGTACGCTAGGGGGTGGGTGGCCAACACCACGCCCGACCGCCTTTGTCTCCCCAGTTACGATGTTTACACACCACACCAGTTACTCATTTGTGGGCGGGTCGACCTAGGGGAGGTCCAGGACCAGTTCAGATACTCGTCAATGGTGTTGGCCGTGAGCGGGAATCGAACTCGGGCCACCGGGTTCTCATCGCAGCACGATAACCGCTACACTCCTCCTCAATACCAACACAGCCGCCATTCGCCAGTAAGTGACGGTGACGTCACCACGGCGCCTGTGCCAGGCCAGGTGCACTTTCTGAGTCACTGCTCCCCACACACACTCACACACACACACAGACGGATCGTCTCCCCTCTCACCTCCTCGTGCCAGTTCTCACGGAACCACACCATCTGGTCGACAATGCCCTCGAGCGAGGACAGCAGCGTAGGGTGCAGCTCGCGCTGCATGTGCATGATGCGGCTGCAGCGCCACATCGGCGCCGTCGCTCGGATGGGGCCCGGGTCCGGGCTCGAGCCAGGCACCTGCTGACTCCCGACTGAGCCGAGCCGAGCGCCGATCACGTCCAACGCGGTCCGTTGTTGTTGTTGTTTTTGATGTTGTTGTTATGGGCAAGCCAGGGGTGCAGGGGACACAGGGAACACAGGGAACAACAAAGCTTGCATCAGCGCTATGGAATTTCTCACGGTTGGTTGCATTGCAATCAGTGCCTCTGACTAAATCGTCCGGATAGCGGCCAATTTCTCTAAGATGTTCAACTTCAAACACTTTCCTGTAAATGTTGTTCTGATGGGTTTTTTTCTTTTCGTAATTTGCATTAAGTGTAAGTTTGTGAATTATTGTTACCTTCAGGCGAGTGCCAAATGGGAGTCCCCGTGGTGTAGAAGTAAGACCTCTCCATATATGGGCTCCCAGGAGGGCACAGGACCACTAGCGAACATTCATACACACTGTACTGATGAGACCTAATGAGAACGGAGCTGGTCTACAGTTGTCTTTCCTTCACCGCTGCCTGTTGGGACGGCCACATTTTCAACCACCAACCACACCACTACCACCACCACTAAATAACAGCGCAAACCCCAGTACAAACTCGCGCAATGTTGATGATGATAATGACAAAGACATTCACTGTCATGATGCTGTCGATGATAGGAAGACAAAGTTAATGATCAAGTTTACAATTGAGAAGACATTCGTGATGATGACAACGACGATGTTGTAGTTGACGATGAGGATGATGAGACTTACCGATGCCGGTGCCTGCCTGCTCCTGTGTGCCTCCTCCTCCTGGACCGGGCGAACCGGACGCTACATGCGACGATGACACAGAGGTCATGATCCCCGACACAGAAGCAGCACCCCCACCAGGCTTCGAGCCAGGAGTTACGGCACCAGCTGGCGTGGCGCGGCGCGAGTCGGCGGTGGCACCGCCACCACCGCCACCACCACTGCTACCGCCGCCACCCCCGCCGCCGCCACTGCCGGCCCCACCGGCAGCACCACCAGCCAGGACCTCGCCACTCTTGTAGCGCTCCCGCTGTTCGATCTTGAGCGTCAGGTAGAGCGTACGGATTGGGAAGTAGACTGCCTGTGGGTAGACACGGCCCACCTGCACACACACACACACACCAGACAGAGGTCATCCATCTAGCCTTGAGACTGTTGAGGAACTTGATGTTCGTGAGCACCTATTAAGGCCGGTACAGGACAGACCCAGGTGTTATGGAAATAACGCACACACACTCTCTCTCATACACACCCAACAACTGATGCGCAAAGACTAAGATCCCCCATAGAGCCTCTAACAGACTGTTGGGGCAAGCGCTGTTAGCGATCACCTATGAAGAGGTGGGTGGCCAATGCCACGCATGGCCACCTTTCTCTCCTCTGTGCTGATTTTAACAACAGTCTACATGGTACTTATTTTTATGGCTCAGTTCACCTAGACGTGGCCCAGAACAGATTCCAATATTCGCCACTTTTATTGGTCGTGAGCAGGAATTTAATGAACTCGGGCCACAAGATTGGTAGCGCAGTGCATCATGCACTACACGACCGTTCTCTACTACCACCCCTTCAAAGACCCCCCATACAGCCTTGTTGGGGCAAGTGGTGTTAGAAAGAACCTATGAAGGCCGGCACGGCACACGAGGCGGTGGGTGGTCAAGCACCACACCCGGCCGCCTTTGTCTCACAAGTGGCGATGTTTGAGGCTGTTCAGATAATCGTCACTGGTGTTGGGCGTGAGCGGGAATCGAACTCGGGTCGCCAGGTTCGGAGCGCAGTCTGCTAATCGCTACACTACCACCCCTTCGAAAACAAAGATTCCCCGCATAGCCTTAACAGACTGTTGGGGCAAGTTCTGTTAGCTTGCACCTACTACCATTCTTTCTCACATACACACGCGCATGATTGCATGCAAGTCAGGCGATGTCAGAGAGTACCTAATTAAGCACAATTACATTCAAATGGTACAGTCGGCACCGTGCCATGGGATGAAGGAAAATTCCACTCTAATCTCTAACAGGCAGCAGTGCACCACCACGTATCAGGGAATGGCCCGGGATGATGTCATCCAGCTGCTTCTGAAATCACTTCAAATCAGCCTTTCATCCAGACTAGGAACAACAACAAAAAAGACGATTGTTGGTCACATGCCAATGAAGTAGACGTTTTTCTTGATACTCAGAGGTGGAATCGGCCAAGCTCAGTGAAATTGAACACGACGTTCTTTTTTTGTGCATTCATTGGTGACCAGACCGAGACCACCTAATTTGCTGCATCTGAGCACCCAACTTTAACTATGGGTTCTTCAAACACGCAATCGAAACAAGGATCTCGAGAGGTGGACTTTAAGGTGTGTGTCGGTGTTTCACGATTTTTTGCATTTGGTTTGTTGTCCTTTCCCCGCAACTCCGATTGGCACGGTTGGCTACGTACGGTGCGAAAGAAGTCCAACGTATATGCACATACGTACGTACATTCCGGGCCAGCGCAAGTGAGACGGAGGCGTTTATCCAACGGTGCCCGCCCCCCTCCCCACCCCCGCGCGTGGCCGCCCCCAACTTCAATTAGCGAGACTAACTCGGGCAAAAGGGTTGAACTTTTAACATTCACGAGTTGCGCGGGGCGCTGACGCACTCATCCCTCAACGCACGTGTCGCGTAATAAACGTTCCCCTCTGAAGTGTGTTCGCACGCGCGCGGTGGGGGGGGGGGAAGACAGGTTCATTGAGACGCAACGCAGCGTGTTTACTCTGACGTGCCACCGTCATTTCCTCCTCTGGTGGGGCAGGGGGGGCGGGGGGCAGCTATCCTAATGACGTCGTCGGGTGGTGCCTGCTGGTCCCGCTTCTGCTAATAGTTTCGGCAGAGATCCTTTAAGGTCGCTGGTAAAAAATAATTACAGAGGTGGAGGTGCAGCCCTGCAACTGCTCGCTCTTGTAACCGATGGCGGAAGAGGCCTGCACCAGAGGAAGCTCGAGAAAGCTTCTCAGGATATTTCATGGCCTCCTTTTTCACGCCGGCCTACGCGTCTTGGACTGGGAGCTATTTCAGGTAGGTGTCAGAGGTGGGGGGGGGGGGGGGGGACGGTCATGGTATTGGCGCTTCGCAGAACGTGAGTGTTGTTCGCTTGTCAAAATAGGTGGTGGGTTTTCACCGCGTGCTCTCCGGTTTCTTCCCAAGCGAGAACAACAACAACAAACACTCGCCGCGATGTGCAAATTGCGGCACCCTCTTTTGAGAACGTCCTGAAGCTCACGAGGGCACCTTCCATCTTGTTGCTGTTGGTGAAGAGTAATGTGGTCATTGTTACGCTTCTGTTTATCGAAATGCTGCTAGGGGTGACTGACGCAGATAAAACGAGGCTTTCGTAGCGAGTCAGCCACCACGTCATGATATTACATGCCCAATTAGGGCGGTAATGTCACTGCTGTTATTGCTTGTCTGGCCGAAGGGGCCATTGCCCCAATCATCGCCTATTAGATATGTTTACAATGAAGGCTGCACGGTGCCACTGACGAATATGTAGAGTTTTATTATTTTTGCTTGTGCACCGCCGCTGACGCAGCAGCAGCATCAGCAAATAATTTGTCTGGAAGTGATTAAGTTACACGAGGAAGCTCTGCGAGTGAAGATTTTTTTTCTCCATTCCATTTTAGGGTTTCGTGGCATCTCGAGTAAGCGGTCGACACAAGTATAAAGACGGCGCGCAGATCGTCGAGAAACGGCCAAAAGTAACACAAATTAACGACAAACGCCGCCGCCGCCAAAAACACATCGCACACGTGTGATGGCCCCGCTAGATACGCAAACACCTAGAACATCTAGACAAAACAACGACATCCACGAAAACAATATATTTTTTTATCGTCTATTGCACAACAATATTTGCTGATTGTGTTAAATTAAAAAGGTTATTCTGACCTGCGTCAGAATAACCATTTCGATCGAAACCCCCAGGAGAACTCAAACAATGGACAAACACACAAACGCACTATCCACGATTTTTCCGCAACGTGCGTTTGTCCGCGGAAGTATTTCATACTTTAGAGAACACACACGTGGGGCTGAAATAAACCTAATTTTAAACTGTAAAAGACAGTAGTATGTGTGTTTGCGGCCTTAACTTGCACATAGCCTGGCACAAGCGCCGTGGTGACGTTACCGCCACTTAGTGGAGAATCGCGGTTTTTGTTGTTGTGTTTTAAGTATGAATGCGTCGCTGGAAGGGATGATATATGTATGTTGAACTTCTTTCCCACCGCACGTAGCCAACCGTGCTAATCGAATGGCAGATGGTCAAGAATAACGACGGAGTGGCAGCCAAGGAATGGAACATGCGACCAAGGGTACGGCCACCGAGGAGCTGGAGGGATGAAATCAGCTGGTGAGCAGGTGCCGGGTGAATTGTAACAATTGTAACATTTCAGGAGCGTGCGAGATTACTCTGGGACAACGTAATTGGCTTCTAGACAGGGGGTCCCCGCTCAGGTTAATTATCTTTTGTTATAAGAATGTTAGACGGTGGGAGCCACTCAACAATGCTCGTCTATATGGAGGAGAGGGCGCAGAAGAGGACATTTCAAACCCCAAACGTCTTGCGGCACTGTCCTGTAGACAGGAGCCGGGATTTTGAACGATAACCTTATCAGGGCGTTTTCATTCATTAATTTACACAACTGCGGTGAAGCAGCGACCGTGTTTTGATGTCACAAAACAAGCGCCCAAGTGCGTTTTTGATTGTATCTTCCCCTTTAATCAGCCGAACGAATCGTGTAAGCCAGCCAACGCGGCGGATTCTGATCAAGCGGTGCGCAGCGTGGCCGGCCTGCAAGCGATAATCCTAGTATGCCAGAGTGGAGCCACCACGTAACCCTTCCTGGGGCTGCGGGAGCTCTGTGCTACTCCCTTTTCCACTGGCGAATCCAGGCCGAGACCGGCACGCGTTTCCCGACGTGACCCGTGCCGGCGCCGTCAACGCCAGTGTCGCCACGCTCAATATAAATCACTCTGATCACCTCGTGGCTTGAAATGGAGAAGAGGCCAGCAGCCACAGGGGGTGGGGGTGGAAGGCGTGGGGAAGAAGGCGTGGCGTGGGGTGGGGAGCGGTGGGGTGAAGAGCGGTGGGGGGGGGGGGGAGAGTGGGGCAGGGAGAGCGGGGCAGGCTGGGACCCAATTGAGCACAATTTGTTTGCTCCTATATATTCTTTATTTATACCCGGCCTATTACAGGGAACAAAAAGTCATCCGCGATTGATTCAACAAAAGACCGTGTCTGAGAAGATGAGAAGAGAGGTGGGTAATGGGACAGGGAAGGAGTGATGTGACGGGAGAGAAATATAAAGCTCTAAGCTGCGAGCGGTGTGCTGGTGCTGGCTGCATACTGTGAGCGTCACTGCGGTGTGAGTGGCGGGTGGCGTGCTCCGAAAAATAATGCATGTCAACATATTGGGACGTTTGTGAAAAAGATCTTTATGGTGCATCGGATTTTTCCGGTATAAAAAAATCTTCTGATATTGCTGGGCAACGTCACACACAAGAGGCAAAAGTACCCCCCCCCCCCCATATACCCTACAACCGGGCTGGTCGGGCAAGGTGCTGTTGTTAGTGAGCGCGTATTGAAATCCAGCGAAGTGCACAAGGGCATGGCATGGCCATGATCAAGCCCGGCCACAATTTTCCTCCCGCGTGCTGATTTGCCACCGATGTTAGCCGTGAGCGGTAATCGAACGCGGGGAAGGTGGGTGGGGTTGCTAAGTGCGTAGCGCAGTGCATCGACCACTACGCTACCACTCCCCACACACAAGCATATTTACAAAAGGCAAGGATCCTCCATTAAGTCGCACAGACGATTGGGGCAAATTTACTCAAGTGAGCACAGCTGTTATAAACATAATATTGACGATAATGGCCTTTATTTTATCTAAAGCCTCCCTGAGTTTCAAATACAACCACAATTTCATCATCAAAAGGATCATCACCATTAGAAAAATAATAATCATTAGCGGCAGTTATGCATGATTTTTTGTGCATTCTCATTATGAGCAGCATTACCAGCAACATCATCACAAACAACACCACCATTAACGAGTGGGAAATCTGGCCTGTAGGCTGCATAGCCGTGTAATTCAAATTGGTGGAGCGGTGTTGTCGTTGAATATGGCTTACATCAGTGCCGAGTGATATCCGCCCGGCGTGAAGTACGGTCAAACCACTCCCACGGGGATGGAGATACAGGAGGCCTTTCACCAGCACAAGTTTGACAAAAGGGGGTTGCAGATTCGAACTTCTGAACTGCCCCACGCAATCAGCGCCGATGTTTTCCGCGAGAACGGCAAATCCCCCAATCTATTCTGTTGAGCGCGGCACGCAACTTTGTCGTTTTGTTTGTCCCATTTAAAGACGACAACAAAAACGCACGGCACCCGACCGCGCGCGTTACCACCCGTACCCACTCCTTACACCCCCCCGGCCCAACTGCGGGAGCACGTAATGAGGCGGACAGAAACATTAATCAATAACGGCTTACCTTAAGAAACGAGAAAACGGTAAAAGAAGGTTAAGAGCAAGGATGCCCTCGGCCCTTCCTGCACACACTCCGCGAGACCCATTATGAAGGGGGCTCATTACGCGCGCGCGCGCGCGGGGCTCCGCGGTGGAGACGCGCGCGCGTAATTGTGGCAAATCCACGTACGTGAAAATCGTGCAAAGCGCAAACCACCACGCCGCGCTGTTTTCCATTTGCTCAGCTGATGTTGCGTTTCCGCTGCCTCGGCTGTGGCTCCGAATGCTTCAGCTGACACCAGTCGTTTGCCATTTTATTCTGTCCTTCGCAATAATGTCTCCGTCCCCTAATCAAATCATGTTAACCGTGTTGAGGACTCGGTCTAGCAGACTGTTTCGTCTCATCCACAGTGTGCCCGTTGCTGAAGATGGGGAGAAGAGACGATGGAGCATATAGGTACTGTACAACAATGGATTTTGCCGGACTGTCCTTCTGACGACTGTGTAGCACTGAAGCACTGTGCTCTTTATGTCTGGGCTTAAAGGCTTTTCTCCTCTGCCATGAACGAATGGCCTCTGCAATAACACCCACCACCTCCCCGGTTCTACAACCTCATTCGGGGGTTGCCACCTGTCCCAATTCCCGGACTGACGGGATTTTACCCAAACAATTCAGGAATTGGCAACACGTGTTCATGTCACAGGAATTGATTTGCACAAAGACCTGGTCCCGGTATTGTGTTGACAGTTATTGCCGCATACTCAGTACACTGCACAGCTTAGACAGGCCTAGGGTTTGGTCTACAGTGGTAAAGGTGGTTTCCTTTAATGTCTCTACCGACCTGATGTACGTGCTGTTCACTTAACGTACAATTGAACATTTCCACAGGCACTGCGTCTTTTAAGACCCCGTAAATTTTGTGAGATGATCCTCATTGTATGTTTTCGCATCAGATCTGGTACAAGGTCGATTTAGAAATAAATTTATGCTGGCTCCAGATCGGTTGCCATTAAATTAACAATTAAAGCCGATGATTAAACTGGCAAAGCCATATGTGATTTACATGGGCCTCGGGCATTTCAATCAGAACTCCAAATATCCAAAGACACAGCTGGCAACACAACACAGCGGCACTAATCACAAAGAGAACGATAGAGATACCTGCAACAGCAAAAACGTCACGATCAATCCACTGCTGGATGAAACTGTCTCTAAGCAGTCTTCATCCCTCAAAAGATCTTGCTAACCGGATAATGATGAAACCGCGCCAGCAGAGTTGTGTAGCACAGCAGGACTACGGAAAGTAACCTTCCTTCATTTTAGGCTGCATACCAAGAGAGGAAGCTTGTAAGATTTATTTAATTGTCTCGTTAAATCTCGCTAAGTGCTACGTCCCAAAGAACCGGTGATGTGTGCATCACATCCAATAACAGCTTAATTGTTAATGCCCGTAATCACTGTCTGCAAATAACCCCCCCCCCACCAAACCTCTCCCCTCCACCAAACCTCTACGCCCACCATACACGGCAAAGACGGTTCACATTAATTCCCAGCCGCCTCCCCAACCAAATTAAATTTTGGCACGCTTACGCTTTCTCCAACCTTGTACACGTAACTGGGGCAATTAAAAAGCGGGAGGGGATACATTACTTTCGGTAATTCATGCGGGGACGGGGGGATTGCGCTCGGATCGCTGGTGAGGAAAATGTAACAAAAATCTTTATTGGAATTCGCAACGACTTTTAAACGTTTGGCAGAGTACGACCTGGCCGGAACCGGCGACCCGAGGGCAATACCACAGATACCGCACCGCAGGGTAGAGCACACCACGTGCACATCACAAACTCATCACGTGTACGTAATGCATCCAACACCACTATATATACACACACACTATGTATATACTGTATAAAGATTCCCGTATAGCCTTTAACAGGCTGTTGGGGCAAGTGCTGTTAGCGAGCACATAGCCCAACACGTGGGGGTAGGTGGAAAACACCACGCCCGGCCACCTTTGTCTCCCCAGTGCTGATTTTGTTTGACACATCGCACCAGGTATTCGTTTAAGATTGAGTCGACCGAGAGGAGTGCCCGGGACCGGGTTCAGACACTCGTCACCATTACTGCTCACGAGCAGGGAATCGGGTCACGGGGTTCAGAGCACAGCGCGCTAACCTCTAAGTCATAGCTGCCCACAATATATATGCACAAACACTCACACCGATGACATGAAGAAAAAAAATCCTTTAAGAAATATAATTAGTGCAAGGAAAAATTGTATTGGGGCCAGAAAAATACATTCTTGAGAGTTGTAACAGAGCCCTATCGAATCGTCAACAACTCCTTTATTCACCATAGGATCTCGGCAAGGTACCTTTGTTATTTATACAGACATAAAATCCCACCTCTAAAACCACCACTGGCCCGTTCCATTAGCTGTGTTGCCAACCGCTGGAATTCTTGGCAAGAGAATACATTACACAGAACCTCGTCAACTGGAGGCAATAGTGCTTATTTAATGAGCACCTATTAAGGCCGGCACAGCACGTCACAAGAAGAAGTGGCGTTGCCTCAACCATGCACGGCCGCCTTTGTCTCCAAAGCGCTGACATTTTTACGCAATGCACCAGGTACTCAATTCCGTCCGGGTCAAACCGAGGAGAGATCCAGGAGAAGTTTGGATAGTATGGTGCTATGAATGTGCATTGCTGCGGAAGGGAACTGGAAGACAAATAATTAAGACAGCACGGTGGCGCAGTGGTAACGTTCTTGCCTCACAGCAAGAAGGACCTGGGTTCAATTTCCTGACTGGGGTGTCTATCTGCATGGGGTTTGTACGTTCTCCCCCTGTTTCGCGTGGGGGGTTTCCTCCGCGTTCGCGGGTTTCCTCCCCATAGCTATAAACAAAACCACACAATGGAACCGGTCTTGGACCAAAACATCCCCAAATTGTGAAATACTACCCGTAAAATTATTTAATTGGGATTACACGTGTAGCGGCATCGCCCGCCCGCCGTATCGCGAGAAAAAAAAAAAACCTGGCAGGACCCTCGCGAAAGAAGAGTCGAGGCTTTCCTGGGTAGCCGAGCCAAACGAGAACAACTCCACAAGCAAAACTCTCGCGGACGTTTTCCGCGTCTCCGCGCGACCGCCTACCGTGCTGATGAGGTTGAGCAGCAGCTTCCCCTCGCTGCACACCAGGCAGGTGAGGAGCTGCGGGATCCACGCCACCCACTGGATGGGAGGGACGCCGACGCAGTACTTGTCGACCGCCTCCGCCAGCGTGTTCTTCTCGTCATCGAAGCTCAGCAGCCACAGCACCTGCACCCCCCGCCCCCCACGCGTAACACGCCGGGGCCGACGGTTAACGTCCCGGTCGATGAGTACGCTCGCGACAGGCACGCGCACACGCGCAGCACATCCGTACGCCACCGGCACGCTTATGGCCGACGGAGTAGTGAACGGGACTGCAGAGGCGGGCAGCCAAGGCTCCGGTTGGCGGAGCCAGAACTGCCGAGGTCCTGCTTGGTTTTTCACTTCATCCGGCACGTGGGGCGACAACGGTCTAACGATGCTAAATTTTAATAATATGTACCCGCGAATTACTCCATTTGGAATCATCCGTTGCAAACACTGCCCCCCAGCCTCCACCCCAAACTGAAAAAAGTCATGAGAGCCTGCGAGGTTTTCCTGGGTGAACTCGCATAATGATAACAAAACAATGAACAGGCTTTGTCACAACTGTATTAGAGGCATAATCGTTGTCAGTTTACATGCGAGTGCAACAATCACCACAAATATAATTGATCGTTTGTGTAGCCGTTTTCTTACTTGTTACTGTGACGCGGTTGTTTTGGGTCCTCTTTCCCCTTGGTGTATAATCCTTCCATTTTCTATTTGCTTAGTTGCTGAAACTTATTTTAATAGTCGCGCTTTTGTAATTTTGTGCGACACAGGTCACTTTTGAGCTCTTAACCTTGTTGGATAAAGAACCAAAACCAGGTTTAATGAACAGGCAACTCATAAATGCCCCCAGGGGCATAGCTCCCGAGTGTGCAGGCACCAGGGCCGACGGGACGGAATTCAGCCCAGGCCTACGAAGAAGGGCGGGTGGGAACTGTATGGGGGAGGGAAAGGGTGCCCATTACAATCCTGACACCAGGGCCCATGCCAACCACACTCTGCCACCGCGTGCCAGCAGTGTGAATGGATGAGAAGCTCACTGGCACGACCTCAACAGTCGTTCTCCGACGTCATTTTCAGCGAGCGTTTTTTTGACGCGCGGTAGTACGCTGCTGGCTGAAAAGATCTGAATGGAAATGTCTGTGTCTCAAGACAACGGCAGCACAGTTGTAATTTAATAGGAAATCGAGCAGATTTCTTTTGTTTACAAAAAGTAGGTACAGTATTCGGCCATGGGAGCCGCTACAGTGCTCTAACGGTCAGCACGCTGGACTTGCAATCCAGGGGGTCCGCTGGTTGGAACCCATTACCCGGAGCAGCAGCAAGTTGAAAAACGGAAGACAAGTTTCTTGAATGCCGTCCTCCACCGCCTCCACACATAGTCAGTCCATCGGCAGGTCATGGGCGATGGGGTTCAGTGTGGGTACACCCCAACTCCTCCAACACGTCTGGCCAACGTTGAGGAGTGGACCAAAATAGCTTCCCTGTCAGAGGTATCTCTCGCGGAGGCCCTTTTCCTGAGTGGTCGCACCGGCGAGCAATTGCAGAGGCCACACCTTCACCTCTTCGGCCCTCGCAGCACCGCTGGTCCTCGTGTCAACAGCGCCAGCTCGTTAAGGCAAGGGTCTACATTCCTGCTCGCCAACCGCTCGTGCCGGGTTCACTGCGAGTGGCGCTCCGGCCCACCTGATTTATGCGATTACTCCCCTGGTGACAGAATTATAGCGAACGCCGCGTGCACGGCACGTCAACGGACACCTGAGACGAAAGGTGTGCACTCCGGTGTGTCTCAAAACACCTGCCTGAACGTTTGTTGCGGCTCAGAGTTTACATACAACAACAATCTTTGGAGAGAGTGGTGGGTGGGGGGAAATGTGTCACGGTGACGAGATGTTAACTACCTTGCCTGGTATAAGGAGGTCGTGGGTTCAATCCCAATCCCAACCCTGACACCTTTACATTTGTATGTTTTCTCGACCCGTGGTCGTGTGGATTTTTCTCCCGGTGCTCCTCTTTTCCCCTCCACATTTAGAATCAATGCACGTTTAGAGTATTTGGCTGCTATACATTTCCACATGATCAGTCACTCTCGTTGAGCTATCATTTGCGACCAGGTCACTTCTGAAAAAGACCTACACCGCTTAGCCTGATTAAAGAAAAACAGCTTCATAGTTTTACATTATATTCTTGGTTCTTTCGGTGAAGTCACGTAGAAGGGAAACAATAAAATAATAATAATGTTTAATAAGGGTTGGGATCTGTCGGCTGCCTCAAGTCTGGGGGGCCCGTCTGTCTGGCATCTGGTTCCCCTTCCCCACCTGGCTGAGCAGAGCCGACTGACCGCCGGCAGACAAGCCAGTCCGAGCGAGTCTCCGGGAAAACATCTTGCCACGCTCTCATTTACGCTCGTCACTACTAATGCGTTTTTAGCCCTCTGCTGACCTATCATTTGTGGCTGGGTCGCTTCAGTAATAAAAGCGACATAGCTCAGTGGGACTTGCCTGGAAAAAATGAAAATAGTTTAGTTTAATATAGAATGACTAAAGGACTAGTTCAGATATATCTCGTGCCACTGACGCTAGCCATGTAGCCGTGGCCGGGAACCATACTCGAAGTCGCGGGATCGTGGCTCAGCGCGTGTAGCACAGCGCTGCCGACGCAACTACCCCGTTGTTACGCGTCCCAGTCACGAATAAGATCAGTTTGATAACAGAACTGGTCCTGAGCTTCCGGCCCCTAAACCACCGACCCCCCCCCCTCCCCCCCCTTCCCTTCAACAATCCGCACTGACCAGCGTGAGCAAAGCACGGTCAAACAACCAACAGCGCCGACGCGGTGCCATTAGGAGGCTTTCACCCGGCGAGGGATATATAACAGCCTGTCCATTAAGGAATGATGACAGTGATGGGATTCCTATTATTATAACCATAATTATGATTTCAACGATCTGTGCACATACCATACACGGCACGTGGAACAAACGAGACCGTTCGTTCAGAAATCACGAGGGCAAGTGGTGACAGTGAGCCCATACTGGGAGAGTGCAGCGACTGGTAAACTTCAGTGTCAGAGTGCACCAAGTGGCAGAGTGGTAAACTCACTACTGAATGTCAGAGTGCACCAAGTGGCAGAGTGGCAAACTCACTACTGAATGTCAGAGTGCACCAAGTGGCAGAGTGGCAAACTCACTACTGAATGTCAGAGTGCACCAAGTGGCAGAGTGGCAAACTCACTACTGAATGTCAGAGTGCACCAAGTGGCAGAGTGGCAAACTCACTACTGAATGTCAGAGTGCACCAAGTGGCAGAGTGGCAAACTCACTACTGAATGGCAGAGTGCACCAAGTGGGAGAGTGGCAAACTCACTACTGAATGTCAGAGTGCACCAAGTGGGAGAGTGGTAAACTCACTACTGAATGTCAGAGTGCACCAAGTGGCAGAGTGGCAAACTCACTACTGAATGTCAGAGTGCACCAAGTGGCAGAGTGGTAAACTCACTACTGAATGTCAGAGTGCACCAAGTGGCAGAGTGGCAAACTCACTACTGAATGTCAGAGTGCACCAAGTGGCAGAGTGGCAAACTCACTACAGAATGTCAGAGTGCACCAAGTGGCAGAGTGGCAAACTCACTACTGAATGTCAGAGTGCACCAAGTGGCAGAGTGGCAAACTCACTACTGAATGTCAGAGTGCACCAAGTGGCAGAGTGGTAAACTCACTACTGAATGTCAGAGTGCACCAAGTGGCAGAGTGGCAAACTCACTACAGAATGTCAGAGTGCACCAAGTGGCAGAGTGGCAAACTCACTACTGAATGTCAGAGTGCACCAAGTGGCAGAGTGGAAAACACACGACTGAATGTCAGAGTGCACCAAGTGGCAGAGTGGCAAACTCACTACTGAATGGCAGAGTGCACCAAGTGGCAGAGTGGCAAACTCACCACTGAATGGCAGAGTGCACAGACTGCCACTCTTAATACTGAATGACTGAGTGCACAGACTGGCAAACTCACTACTGAATGACAGAGTGCATGGACTGCCACTCTTAATACTGAATGGCTGTGTTATAGACCGGCAAACTCAATACTGAAAGGCAGAGTGCATGGACTGGCACTCTTAATACTGAATGGCTGCGTTATAGACTGGCAAACTCAATACTGAATGGCAGAGTGCATAGATTAGCACTCTTAATACTGAATGGCTGTGTTATAGACTGGCAAACTCAATACTGAATGGCAGAGTGCATAGATTAGCACTCTTAATACTGAATGGCTGTGTTATAGACCGGCAAACTCACTACTGAATTCTGGATTTGAAGCTTTCGTGACTGCAAGGATTCATACTCTTTGGTTCTATTCGGTAAAGTCACGTAGGTAAAACAAATGAAAATAAATTGAAATAAAATGAAAGAAACAATTAAAACACGACGTTTCGGAGGCAAAGCAAGCTTCCGTCTTTTGGTGCAGCGATTTTGCTGTGACTGGTCCCACCTGAAGACGGAAGCTTGCTTTGCCACCGAAACGTCGTGTTTTAATGGTTTCTTTCATTTTATTTCAATTTATTTTAATTTGTTTCACTACTGAATGTCAGAGTGCATGGACTACCACTCTTAATACTGAATGGCTGTGTTATAGACTGGCAAACTCACTACTGAATGGCAGAGTGCATGGACTGCCACTCTTAAAACTGAATGGCTGTGTTAAAGACAGGCAAATTCACTACTGAATGGCAGAGTGCACAGACTGCCACTTTTAATACTGAATGGCTGTGTTATAGACCGGCAAACTCAATACTGAATGGTAGAGTGCATAGATTAGCAATCTTAAAACTGAATGGCTGTGTTATAGACTGGCAAACTCAATACTGAATGGCAGAGTGCATGGACTGCCACTCTTAAAACTGAATGGCTGTGTTAAAGACAGGCAAATTCACTACTGAATGGCAGAGTGCACAGACTGCCACTTTTAATACTGAATGGCTGTGTTATAGACCGGCAAACTCAATACTGAATGGCAGAGTGCATAGATTAGCAATCTTAAAACTGAATGGCTGTGTTATAGACTGGCAAACTCAATACTGAATGGCAGAGTGCATGGACTGCCACTCTTAAAACTGAATGGCTGTGTTATAGACTGGCAAACTCACTACTGAATGACAGAGTGCATGGACAGGCACTCTTAAAACTGAATGGCTGTGTTATAGACCGGCAAATTCACGACTGAATGGCAGAGTGCATAGATTAGCACTCTTAATACTGAATGGCTGTGTTATAGGCCGGCAAACTCACTACTGAATGGCAGAGTGCACAGACTACCACTCTTAATACTGAATGGCTGTGTTATAGGCCGGCAAACTCACTACTGAATGGCAGAGTGCACGGAATGGCACTATTAATACTGAATGGCTGTGTTATAGACCGGCAAATTCACTACTGAATGGCAGAGTGCACAGACTACCCCTCTTAATACTGAATGGCTGTGTTATAGACTGGCAAACTCACTACTGAATGGCAGAGTGCATGGACTTGCAGGGGCGAGACAGACCCAGGAACAACATAGAGGACCGGGCTGAAAGAAGAGAGTGCTTTATGGGCTGCAGGGGACAGACAGAGATGGAGAGAGATAACAAAAGCTGTGCAGCTACAGAATTTGGGGCCCAAAACAGCAGAATGTAAAACACTGTCTATGCCTATACAGGTCGTCATACGTCGATGGTGATTAACCTTGAGCAGCCAATAATAAGTTATTGCGATTTGTGGGGCCCAAAAACGGCAGAATGTACAAACATGATGTACTTACATAAGTACGCATGTTGATTAACTGTAAATAACCCAACAAATAATAGATAGCCACTGCAATTTATATGACTACATTAACCCACCCCCTCTCTGGTATTCGCAACTGACTGGCTCACTGTGATGACATCACATTTACCCCGGCCTCTATTTAAGACCGAGACGGGAGGATTTCTCCACAATTCTGGTTGTCGCATGATTGAGGCTGGTTGTAATTACAGGTGAAACGTCGTACTCGAATTGTAAATGTTGTGGGTTCACTCTCCAACACACTGGTGTGCTGAACTAGTAACTAACTGGCATGTTTAGTTTACGTGAAAAACCTTACTAATTTGGCTGTGTCGGGTGGTGGCGGTTTTTGACGACACATTATTATTATTATTATTTACGCGTTATCACCCTAAAAACCTCTATTATGGATAATTTTGGTCGCGAAAGCCTACGTGTTAAACTGAGAATTGTTAGATGGGGTTGATAACGGGAAGCCGATATCTTTCGGCGAAAAGGCAAAACAAAAATCGCCGCAGTCCCGGCACAGCTCACCTCTCACGCCGCACGCAGATTTTGCGCGGCCGAGAGCTGGGTTGTGTGTCGCATTCCGGGGCACGCAAAAGGGATTAATATTCACAGCTCGCAAGAGTTGGCAGGTGTCATCCACGGTTTAGCGCTAACTCACCTCTCCGGTTCACACGGCACCTCGACGCATTCCCCTGGCACTTGTGACACACTCCACCGGCACAGCAGCAGCTGTAAAAGCTTTAGGGTTCTTTAAACACAATCTGGATTTGGCAGAGTCTACGAACGGCATTTTAGCTCTAACAGAAGAACTGTCAAGGTGGGTGGATGCGAGAGTGAAAACAATTATTTATTTTGGGATGCTGCCATGCGATTGCATTTCGAGGGCTGATGTGTATTTTGCCAAATTTTATTGGTACGATGACGAACAAATGAATAACAACTCCTTGTCAATCGACTGCTGGATGTAGTGCCTCTCAACCCACACCATCACGGGGGTCGTGTGACCATTTGACCATACTTCACCATGCTGGCTTTCCCAAGCAGTGAATATTCTTTGGTTCTTTCGGTAAAGTCACGTAGAATGAGAATAAAATAATAAATTGATAAAATAAAATAACACAATAATATTCTCGCAGCCCGACTGCAAACGCTGCCTGCCCTCGCCTTGGCCCCGCTGCACCCAAACATCTCCTTTCAGGTTCCGCTACTTTTTCTAACCCAAACCCCGTTTGTTTTCGTTCCCTCCCCACCTTCACTTAGCACAACGCCCACACCGCATGCCCTTCTGACCCTCACCAAACCTCCCATCCCACATCCTCGCTCGTGATAAAGTGTCCTAGGATTAGAGATCGCGTACATGTGTCGTACACCATATTTATGCTAAATAACTATTTAATTTTACCAGGTAAGACCCACTGAGATATATAGCTCTTTATCAGAAGCGACGTGGTTATCACAAATGATAGCTCAACGAAGTGGCTTATCGCGTGGACATTTATAGCAGCGAGTTTATTCTAAATGTGGAGGGAAAACCAGAGGACCCAGAGAAAAAGAACGTGCAAACTCCCAAAATACAGGCATCAGGATCGAACCCACGACCTCCTGTATACCAGGTGAGGTAGTTAACATCTTGCCACCGTGGCGAGATGTTAACCGTCAAAGCAAATTAGTAAGGTATGTCACGTCAACAAAACGTACCAATTTTTTTCTACTTCAGCATTTTATTTATCGTTGCAAGTAGCACGCCCAAAGATAAAGATCCTCTTATAGCCTTCATAGACTTTTGGGGCAAGTGCTGTTTGCGAGCACAGCACACGAAGGGGTGGCTGCCCAGCACCACGGCCGGCCACCATAATCTCTCCTAGTGGCGATGTTTACACACTGCACCAGGTACTCATTTGAGGCCGAGTCGACCTAGAGGTGGCCCAGGAGCAAATCAGATACTGGTTACTGCAGATTAACCACTGCACGACCACTCCACCCACCAAGTAACGCACACACGTACGCGCGCACACACACACACACGCACAGAGGGAACGCACGTAGAGTGAAAGAACAAATCAAAGCTCACCTTGGCCAGGTACTTGCGGGACTTGTGCTCGTTCTGGTGACGGCAGGCGTGCAGGTAGCAGGCGATGGCATAGACGCCCAGGTGGAGCTGGCGCTCCTTAACGAACACGGCCTCCAGGTAGTCGCCCCACATGGCCCACGCCTTCACCAGCACGTCGTGCATCTGCACGGCCGCCGAGAAGGCCTTGTTGGCCTCCTCCGATCTACGGTGGGCCCGGGGTGGGAGGTGCAAGAGGCACGGTTAGACGCCGACACGAAGATTACCGCCAGCACGGCATACTATCGCGGGATGGGGGTGTGGACAGCTGACTGCCCAGTGCTGAACGTTCACACTGCACCGGGTACTCATTCACGGCCGAGTAGACCTAGAGGAGGCCCAGCACCAGTCGCATACCCACACGCAAAAAGACAAAGATCCCCCGTATAGCCTTAACAGACTGTAGGGGCAAGTGCTGTTAGCGAGCACCTATGAAGGCCGGCACGGCACACGAGGGGGTGGGTGGCCAACACCACGCCCGGCCGCCTTTGCCTCCCCAGTGGCGATGTTTACACACCGCACCAGGTACTCATTTTAGTCTGAGTCGACCTAGGGGAGGCCCAGGACCGGTTCAGATAATCGTCACTGATGTTGGCCCGTGAGCGGAAATCGAACCCGGGTCGCCAGGTTTGTAGCGCAGCGCGCTAACCGGCGGCTGTGGGGAGGGATACGTGGTTGGCGTCAGAGGGCAGTACAGCAAATCCATTCAATCTTGTTTGCATGTTCACCACAAGTACTGTGTGTGGTTAATGCAGACTTGATTCCTTGCAAAAGCTATCTATTTGGCGTTTGGATATCTTAACACCTGTTTTATTGCCAGAAAGTGTACTCACTCCGAGCTATGCATGCTCTGATACGTGCATTCGTACTGTTCGCGGTTTGGCGTTCTCTGACAATAGTGAGACTAGGCCAATCAGTTTCAAAGACAATGCAAAAATTATCAGAGCTTGTGTGTTTGCATGTTCACCACAAGTGTGCGTAGTCAATGCTGACTTGATCTGGTGTTTGAACATCTTAACACCTCCTATTTAATTTCCAGAAAGGTTTAAACCTATTCCTATTTTTCTATCCAGCTTCACCAACCCACACTGACCAGCGTGGTGGAAGTATAGTTCAGTAAGCCACACGACCTGGGTGGCATGGGTAGGCCAAATCCAGCAGTGGAGATGCGGGCGGCACGGCACACACGTTGGGCGGTGTGGCCCGAACCAAAGTCCGGCCGATGCCTTTGTCTACGTGCTGCCGATGTTATAACACCGCACCATGCACATAACAATATGATGCAGTGGTTCCTTAACCTTTACTGCAGCCTTGCACCCTTTGGTTCTCAATTGTAAAAAATATATATATGTTAATAAATACATAGGTTTGACGAAACTAAGTAGTTGTACTTATGTGCCCGTGCATAATTTGTATTTCGATTATTTACCTTAAAAAAAAATCTGGCATGTCTCGCACCCCCAAAAAGGGCATCTCGCACGCCCAGGGAGTGCGTGCACCTCAGGTTAAGAACCGCTGCTTTAAATGCTAAGTTGAATTAGGGGAGGTCAACAACAGATTCACATATCGCTCGCAACCGAAGTTCACGCGCAGGCCCGCAAGCCCGTAAACACAGACGCACAGCGGCAAATATCCCAGGCGGTCGGGACAAGTGCCGTTAATGAGTACCCATTATTGCCGACATGGTGCCTGGTACTCATATAGAGCTGGGCTGACACAGAGCAGGCCCAGAACCGGTTCAGATAATTGCAAATGATGTTAGCTAAGGCCGGGAATCGAACTCAGGTCGCCCAGTTTGTAGTGCTGTGCAACGATTGCTGCACCACCAAGTCCCCGCTACAACGAGAATCACTGCAAACCTGGGGTCAATTACAATTATAAATGTGCCACTGGTAATAAATTACAGTCACAATGCAACTGCAATTTCAGCTAACGATACTGCTGTAGATCGAAATAGGTCAGTCAGAAGCAAGGTTCCTTTCATGCCACGTGGTATTTGGTCTGTCAAAAGCACCTAAGAGAGACCCAGGGCAGACTCAGATAATCGCCGCTCCACTCTCGTCACGACCCCATCCCTCATGTTCCCCGAGCCCTACCTCACCCCAAGTCACTGCCCCTACCCCATTGTTCCCTGAACCCTGCCTCACCCATGCCCTTCCGGGCAGCAGCAACTGCCTGGCCACCACACACCACTACCTCAATCTACTCTCATCTACGCTTAGCTTAGAAACCCATCGACCCTATCATTCCGTACACACCCTTCATACCGTACCGTCCACCTTCACGCCACCCCTTCTATCAGCCTCATCCACTATCACGCTCCATCCATTCCTCCATCAACCCCCTGCACCATCGCCTCCTTCCCCTGCTGCCATATCCCATTCCTTTTACAAACCCGATCACTAACGGCCATACGAGTACCATACCCATCATTCCATTATTTTGCCATTTTGTACCGTAGTCGGCAAGCATTGTCAAGTGCCTTGGCGAAAGGCGCTTTATAAATCCAAGATAGAATAGAATATTAGTCGTGGCCGGAAATCTAAATCAGGTCGCCGGGTTCGTAGTGCAAGGCGCTGCCCAATATGCCACCACTTCTCCAAGGTACACATTGCACATAAACACAAACAAAGATCGCCACCCGTGTAGCCGTAACAGACTGTTGGGGCAAGTGCCGTTAGCGAGCACTTATGAAGGCCGACATGGCACACGACGGGTTGGGTGGCCAGCATCACGCCCGACCGCCTTTGTCTAACCCAGTGGCGCTGTTTACTCACCGCACCAGATACTCATTTGAGGCTGAGTTGATCTAGAGGATGCCCAAGACCGGTTCTGAAAATCGTTACTTGTTTTGGCCGTGAGCAGGAATCGAACTCGGGTCACCGGGTTCATAGCGAAGTAAGCTAACCGCTACACTACTGCTCCTCACACACGCGCTTGCGCAAGCACACACAACAAAGACAAAGATCCCCCATATAGCCTTAACAGACTGTAGGGGCAAGTGCTGTTAGCGAGCACCTATGAAGGCCGGAACGGTACACGAGGGGGTGGGTGGCCAGCACCACGCCCGACCGCCTTTGTCTCCCTAGTGGCGATGTTTACACACCGCACCAGGTACTCATTTTGAGGCTGAGTCGACCTAGGGGAGGCCCGGGACCGGTTCAGATAATCGTCACTGGTGTTGGCCGTGAGCGGGAATCGAACTCGGGTCGCCAGGTTCATAGCGCAGCGCGCTAACCGCTACACTATCGCTCCCCCTAACAAAGATCCCCCATATAGCCTTAACAGACTGTAGGGGCAAGTGCTGTTAGCGAGCACCTATGAAGGCCGGTAACGGTACACGAGGGGGTGGGTGGCCAGCACCACGCCCGACCGCCTTTGTCTCCCTAGTGGCAATGTTTACACACTGTACCTAGGTACTCATTTGAGGCTGAGTCGACCTAGGGGAGGCCCGGGACCGGTTAAGATAATCGTCACTGGTGTTGGCCGTGAGCGGGAATCGAACCCGTGTCGCCAGGTTCGTAGCGCAGCGCGCTAACCGCTACACTACTTACACATGCGTACACACCACACGCACACAACTGACAGGAATGTAAGGCGATGCCTACCTTAATATAATCAGAGCCAAGCTCATGGCCAAAAATGAAGCTGCTCGGGCAATAGAATCGTGATCATTTTTTCGACGGGACATCAAAGGACTTTTATAGAAGGCCCAGATGTGTTGCCGCAACTGTAGCCACATCTGCTCCTCGGCTCAGGCGTGCAACACAAACACCGGCATCTCTTTGCATACGCTCACAAAAATGTATTGAGAGGAGATACAACTTCTGATGACGGCTGGCACAATAAATAGCGAGAGAAATATCTCTCGTACAGCCTTACAAATAGTTGGTGCGTGTGTGGTAATTGAGTGCTTGTTAAGGCTGTCACGTGACATGAGGGGGTGGGGTGTGGCAAGCACCACGCCTTTGTCTCCCCCAGTATTGACGATTACACAACGCACCAGGTACTCATTTATGGTCGAGCGGACCTAGGGGATGCCACGTGCAGACACGACTTTGCCATTGATGTTAACCCGACGCCGGCTATTTATGGTTAATACAAACAGCGGCATTAACCGGGGCTGCCTGCCAGATTCGAACCGCCGGGCCTGGTCCCCACCGCCCAATGGATGTCACCCGTCTGTAAACATACGCCGTGACCGGCCATTGGCCAAACGTCCCAATGCTGCCGACGAATTGTAATCCGCGAATTACGCAACTGGGATTGCAAAGGAGCAGCAGCAACATCGCCCCCCTGCAGCAAAAAAGACTTGGCAGCACCCCCCTGCAAGGGAGTCTTGAGAGTGGGCGAGGCTCTCCGATGGATACAAGCGAAGTAATAATAATAATGAGAAGAGGGCGATTTGGTTTGAGAGGTAACAGACACCACCCCCCTCCCTCCTCTTCTTCCTCCGCAGCACGCAGCAGCAGCAGCATTGCCATGCGCTTCTACTCACTTGTTGATCTGAGCCAAGAACATCCCCTTGAGCGCGTAGAATTCCGCCGTCATCTCCTTGGTGAAAAACTTGAGGTTCGTTGACTCGATCAATTCCAGTCCCTGGGGGAGTTCGGGCGAAAAATAGGCAGTTAGCGCAATTTGCACCAACCTGGCGTGTGTGCGTACGTGTGTGTGTATATACATACGTAGCGGTTAGCACGCTGTGCTATGAACCCTGCGACCCGAGTTCGATTCCCGCTCACGGCCAACACCAGTGACGATTATCTGAACCGGTCCTGGGCCTCCCCTAGATCGACTCGGCCTCAAATGAGTATCTGGTGCGGTGTGTAAACATCGCCACTGGGGAGACAAAGGGGGTCGGGCGTGGTGCTGGCCACCCACCCCCTCGTGTACCGTTCTGGCCTTCATAGGTGCTCACCAACAGCACTTGCCCCTACAGTCTGTTAAGGCTATACGGGGGATCTTTGTGTATACATACAAGCGTGCGCATGGCAACGTGCGCGCACACACACATTCGCAAATGCACACGCACAAATACAAAGATGCCCCCCCGTATAGTCTCACCAGACTGTTGGGGCAAGTGCTGTTAGCGAGCACCACCTATGAAGGCAGTGGGCGGCACATGAGGAGGTAGTTTGGTCAACACCATGCCTGGCCACGTTTGTCTCCCGTGCTAATGTTTTACACAGCGCCCCAGGTACTTATTAAAGACTGAATAAACCTAGTGGAGGACCAGGACCGGTTCACATATTAGTCCCCGTTGTTGGTTGTGAGCAGGAATTAAATTTTTGTTGCCGGGTTCATACTGCACTGCGCTATCCTCTGTGCCACCGCTTCCCACTCTTTCTCCCACAAACACTCACGATTTATGTATTTTGCACACAAGCATAACTTTGATAATCTTCCGATGGCATCCTATGACTCGCAAGAACAAAACACAACATTCCCAACGTTATTGTTGATGGAAGAATATTCAAACCATTATCATATTGCCATCAATCTTAACGTAAATAGCAAATGTGGCCCTCATTTGTATCTTTATAGCTGAGATTCGGCAATATGTTCACTTTAAAAACTTACGTAAAATATTTCACGCCAATGCACATGCATAAGTGAGACACGGGTAATTTATTCCAGCAAAAGGATGCACGTCTGCAAATCCCATTAGCCAAACTCATCTGCAGTCTCCGCAATTTAGTTTAGAATGAGGGCCACTCGACTGGAAAAGATGAATCTGCATTCAAATGTTACATCCCCAAAACCACAATTTAAAAAAAAAGAAAATTACTTCAATCTTGCGCGAGTACCTATTCTTACCCTGGTTCAAAAATTAGCCAGTTCCTTCCCAAGGCCGGTTTGAACACAGGATAGCGCTTGGGTGGGTGACCACCTGCGCACAAACAGATTGCCATAGGGCTTGCAGGGCTACGTGATTGGCAGCAGAGGCCCATGCAGCAAAATGCATTGTTGTACTGCACTTCTATTCTCCCATCACGTCTAACCTCGCCACCTTCACAAATCCGCACCGACCAGCGTGGCAAAGTACAGTCAAACAACCCCCCCACCTCCCCCCCCCCCCCCCCCGGAACTACTCCCGGCACAGGTGTGGTGGAGGCTCTCATCCAGCAGTGGACTGACCGAAAGGGCCATGCAAATGTACAGATGCGCACGTGCTACAATGCGGGCATCTTCTTCTGAGCAACCACTACAATTTCACATTCAGGTGGGAAATTCAGACAACTGTTTCAGGAGCAGCGCAGTGTTATCGCTGTGATGTCTCCTTCGCATTTGTGGATCGGACATTGCGTCGTTATACGTTGTACGGTCTTGTTCTGGATGACAAAAGTTGCCGCACAATGGAGAGTAAAAAATTTCCATGTGTACATCAGGTATCCCCCCGCATCTTCTACTGCCATGGTTTGTGCAGTGGATGCGGTTTAGGGTGGGCCATGAGCTTCGTCGAAGATCAAACCCAGGGTTCTTCTGCGTTGAGTCTTACACAAGGTGTTTGTTTGCGAGTTCTTTTGAATTCCAAGCAGCTCTCCAAGCTTCATCGGAGTTGAACTCGCATTGCTAACGGTTAAGCGCGTAGGTCCAAAAGGGCTTGCGTGCCTTCAAGCGACGACGAGGGACGTCATTGAGCTCCTGGTGAATGGGAAGGCGACCGTTTTCCTCGATTTGCAGGACTTCCCAGGAGGGCATGCTCAGAGGCGACACAGCCATGCACTTTTGGGCAGAATTCTGTAGGAATTCGGCGAGGGCATCCTAGGGTACGAGGAATAGAGAGGGGCACGTGGTCGCCGCTCACAAAGGGGGCGTCTGTACGCTTTGTCGTCGTGCCACGCGATTTTTCTGCGAATCACGCTCGCAGCCATCATTACACACTCAGCTGCCAACAGGTCCCATAGGTCGGCAAGTTCCCGGTGGAACAATTTAATTAAAAAAACAACAATAACACGCCATTGTTTCAAAACTAACTGAAATTAATGAAGGGGGAGAGGGGGGGCGAGACATTCGTACACAATGACCTCCCAGCAAGGACAGCAGTGCAAGCCTTGGGAATGTAAATGTTGAATGAATGGCCTTGTAATGCATGGTATTTTTCAAGCTAGGGCTCAATGCCAGACGATTCAGATCTAAACAATGGAAAGGCCTGTTATTATTATTCGTCCAAAGTGTACGGGTTAACGCATTTTAAAATAACATCCTACGGCGGCGGATATTTTGAAATCAATACAGAAATTGTCGATGTTCCTGTGCAGGCAGATGGAGAGGTGGCCACGTGCGATGGTCCGGCGAGCTGCACCATGGAACCCGGCGACCCGACTTTGATTTACATCTGGTGTTCTCACGCCAGTGGCGAGCGATCTCCGTTCCTGGGGGCCTCCGCTGCCTTCATCAACCCCTTACTGACCGGCGTGGTGAAGTATGGGCAAATAAAACGCGGTGACTGAGAGGCACGGGGAGGCCTTCATTCCCCTCTGAGTGGAGAAAATTAATAACAGCTGTTTCCGTACGATTCTACACTCTCTGTAGGTAAAAATGACACCGGTTATTGATGTTCATGTTGATGTTCATAAATTGTATATAATATAATTGGATTTTTTTGCCGCTGCAAGATATTTTTTTTGCACCTTCTTTGAGAAGCATTTTCGCTTGTATGTTAACCGATGTATTTTATCGCTTGTTTTCCTTACACAGGACCATTTGTCTGAGTGTCCTCTGACTGGTGACAACGTAATAACGGGTCTTGTGGTGGAGAATTATAAAAACATTAATTAGCAGACAATAACGCCTCCTTCCTTCACAACTCTGTCCCCACACACTAACATGGAATAAATGTGTTTTTTTTTACACATCCTATCAGCCACATGGCCTTCTGGGAGTGTGTAATTTTCCGTGGCATTTGTTCAACATAAGTGAACTCTGGACCGGTGTCAGCATGCAGTGTCTCATCAGGAGGCATTCTGAATATTTGCCTGCAATAAATTTCCATGTGATAAGCCACTTCGTTGAGCTATCATTTGTGGCCAGGTCGCTTCTGAAAAAGAGCTAATGTACATAGCTCGGTGGCGGCTTGAACCAATAAAACTATAATAATTTAGTTTTAGGTGGGTTTATTAAATAAGGTCACCGACTGGTACTCTCACCTGACCACCTGAGAAGAGACGATTCAACTGTGATCTGCTGGGCTGTTGGAAACGCTCGTGAAACACTATTAACACGCCGCAGGCCATCAGACCTGGAGACACTTCTTCCTCATTGTCATCGGCCCTACTGTTGCCAGCATCGTTGCCCGCCATCATCACCACCGCCAATTACTTCCTCACCACCATCAGTTACTTCTATCCTGAAGACGAAGATCCCACTGCCACCACAGACAATGACCCCCTCAGGTTGCCATCTAGACTGTTGGGGCAGGTGCTGTTAGCGAGCACCCATACAAAAAAACGGCACAGCTCAAACGGCGCACGAGTGGGATGGTGTGGCCAGCGCCACGCCCGGCGGCCCTCGTTCTCCCCTGTGTTGATATTTTACACGCCGCAATAGGTACTCGTACAAGGCTGAGTCGACGTAAAGGAGGCACAGGGCCGAGTCAGCTATTCGCTCCTGACATTGGACTGCGAATGGGTATCGAACCCGGGTCGTCGGGGTCTGGAGTGCGGTACACTAACCACTGCGCCACCGCTCCTCACTGTAGCACCACAACCACCAGCACCCCTGCAAACCTGGAACCAATTACAATGGTGTCATTGTTAATGAATTGCAGTCACAAGGTAACTGTAATTTTAGCCAACGATCTAATTTGGTCTGTCAAAAGCAGCGTTCTTTCTCCATAGCACGTGATCATGATCAGTGCCGACCTTACGAGGTGGTCACTAACAGCACTTTCCAAACGGGTCTCGAAGGCCAAACGGGGAATTGTTGCCATCATGTGCCGTGTGTGTGTGTGGTTTACTTGTGGTTATTGATGGTTGCAATGATTCACGCAATATTTGTTTTGTTGTGTTCTGCGTCGGCAGTGGTGCACAAGCACAAATACCAACAAAAAATTCAACAAGTTCGTCAATAACAGTGCCACAAGGGGAAGTAATATATATACGAGATGATGTTTCAGGTAATGGTCCTTCTTTATAGTAAAGATCTCTGCTATAGTGAAATAAATTAAATACTTAGGTCTCAACCACCATCCGCACCCTGACCAAATTAACACCTCATTTGTTAGTTGTGCCACTCTACTCGTTCTCGACAATAATTGTTTGTTGTCTTTGTTTTGTTGATGCTGCTGTGCTCACAGCACGTTTGATCTGATCTTTCCGCGCATTCGGACAGCGAGATTTGGACCTCGCAGCTTTGCGGTCAAGCGGCCCATCGGCCTGAAACTCACCTACCCATTCACTCACCTACTCGGCGGTCCATCGGCCCAGAACTCACTGCCGCTGCATGTTCGAAACTCTTTACAAACATTTAACCAGTTCAATGTAAAATGCAAGGCAGAACTGTTTAATAGAGCTTACAATTTTACGAATATTGTGCGCTCGTGATAACCTAGGTTATAAGAGTTTGCAATCGGCTACACGGGACCCATCGTACGCGTAACAAATCAAACAAACCCAACACTCGCACCGCCCCCCCCCCCCCCCTAATTCCCCCCCGTGCCCTCTCACCTGCATGCACTCGTTCTTGCCCATGACGCCCGCCATCTGCAGGTAGCACTTGACCTGCTGGCGTATCTTCTGGAAGCAGTCGACGATGGGCACGGAGGGGATGGTGTGTATGCGGCTGAGTGAGTCCAGAGCCACACCGACGAGGCCCTGCTTGCGGGCCATCTTGCCGTACTGGATGATGGCTGAGGCGGAGGCGTGCACGCCCAGCAGGGCCTGGCTGCCGTTGGGGTCGCCCTGTGAGCATGCCTCGTACGACGTCACGATCGCTGCGGCGCGCACGCACGGGGAGACACGCGAGACAAAGCGCCGACATGCGTGTTCGTCATTATGATTATTATTAAGCGGTTCACGCAACGCATTTTCACTACTTCGTGCTTCTTCCATTGCCGAACACTTTTCGCACGACGCGGAACGCGCACCGTTATAACGCAGAACCACGCCCATCATAACGCGGTTTCTGAGCAGCTGCCGACAAACTACTTGCTTGCGCTGCGTAGCCGATCAAAATGACACAAACGCGTACCCCCCCTCATCTCATCAGCAATTCCACGCTCGACGCGTTTTTTTTTGCATAACGCGGCACTTTTCAGGAACTCATCTACCGCGTTAAACGAGAGATTACTGTCATGGTAATTTATTGCTTGTGACCCTGCTGCGTTGCCGCCGTACACTATTCGCTCGCTCTCGAAGAGGGAGAGAAAGAGAGGGTGAGTGACTCCGAGGTGCGAGGAGGAACCGAAGAGGAACGGGAAGGCAGCCACGCGACAGGTCGCCGCCAACAATCGCCAAAGCTCTGCGGTCCTCTACATATTCGGTGTTATCAGCAAATGAATGGGTGTTTCCATTTGGGAGGAAACCGGAGCAGCCGGAGAAAATCCACGCGTGCTAGGGGACAACACGCAATCCCATACAGACGGAAGAGGTGCAGCCTACATTTTTGCCGTACCACCATCGCCTGGGGAGCCATGGCACGGCTCCTCCTCGACACCCACAGGAAGGGAGTTTCACAACATTTGTGCGAGTGGACTCACAGTCATCTGTTTCCATCTGTACGGGAACAGAGTGATGCACCCTCGCGCAAGGCGTAGGGTTTTTCTCCGCGTGTTCCGGCTTGGCTGAAAACATCTTAAAATAATAACCCAATGCAGGATCCCCTCCGCAAAAAAAAGTCTCGAGACTCGATGTGGCTTTCCTGGATAAATAAGCAACATTCTAATTAAATAAATGTGTATAATTATCATCCAAAACCCTCTTCGCCCCAACAACCTCTAGGAAAGCGAAGGAAATGAATTGGTAACGATGGAGTACCGTGTTTCCCCATTACCCCCCCCCCGCGCTCTTGGCAAGGTGCCACCAATCGCTGCAGCTCAATGGAGGGGAGAAGTTGGCAGACGGAACGGCGCAGAAATGCAACACGACGGGTTCAAGTCCACCGAACTTGCCCAGCGATTACATCTCTTTAAATACGACACCGCCGATCTCCAGCGGTAGGTGGGGGGGGGGTCCTTATCGCCGGTTGCACCCAGAGCTGAGAGGACTTTGGCGGTGGGAGGGATTCATTTGTGAGATTTACGAGACGGGACTTTGTGAGCTTTACACTATGAAACGTGCAGTGGACACCGATGGACTATCTGCCCAAGGAATGGTGATGATGATGACACTACAGAACTTCCCTGGGTATACCAATGGATTTTGCTCCATTACCTCATGCTGTGAGTGGCATTACTGTGGTGGGTATTCTCGGGCAGTGTGTTTTCTCCTCCCACGTGCAAAACACTCCTTGAGCCACCACCGTCTGGCTATACGATCACTATACACCACCACCATCATCATCACTACCATCCCCCACACCAAGACTACCATCATCACTACCACCACCACCCATGGCATCACTCATATGATACACCACCACCAATTGGCGGAGCACCCCACTGAAGGACTCTCTTGGAAAAGAATCTCGAGACTCACCGAGGATTTTCTATATAAATAAATCACGTTATAAAAACAGAATTTATCGGGTGGGATGACGCACTTTTGTTCCTGGAAGGTCCCTACAGGCCTGTCCATGGCCACATCTCTCCGGCATTATCAATAATTAAATGCACCGCACTTAACCTGCTTTGCACATCAAGCAAAACATTAAAAATGTATTCCTTGAAATGATTTCGCTACGCCTGGCATGGGACTCTTTTTCAATGTTAAATATTTTCCTATTTCCAGTGAAATTGTTTCACAGTACAATCGCAATGTTCCTGCAAAGACCCAGGATTTTGTTACGGATTTTTAAAAATCTCCATCAAAGCCCAAACAAACTGAAAAGCACGGAGAGGCACAGACTCAGAATTGCCGCGGTGGTGAGATGTTAACTTCCTCGCTTGGTATGCAGGAGGTCGTGGGTTCAATCCCGACCCTAACACCTGCATATTTGAAATGATCACGTGGATTTTTCTCCGGGTCATCTGGGTTTTCCGTCCATATTTAGAATATATATTATTTTTACTCTTTTTTTATTACCGGGTAAGGCCCACTGAGCTATAAGGCTCTTTTTTTTTAGAAATGATAGCTCAACAAAGTGGCTTATCATGTGAAAAATTATAGCAGCTAAATACTCTAAACGCATGTCTAAATCTGGAGGAAAAAACCGGAGGACCCAAATATACAGCAGGCATCAGGGTCGGGATTGAATCCACAGCCTCCTGCATACCATCCATAAGAGGTTTTTGGGTTAGATTGAGTAAATATAAATGTCTCGTTAAATCCGCCACAGCGAATTAGTAGGGTTTGTCACGTAAACAAAACGTGCCAATTCTACAATTACTATTATAGCACATGGTGTGTTGGAGAGCAAATCTACAACATTTACAATTTCAATACGACGTTGCATCAGCGATTACAACTAGCATCATTAGGCGACACACCAGGCGAGGGAGTTAACATCTCGCCACCGCGGCACACCCACCGCTGTGGCAGCTCCCTAGGTTTCCCAGCTGAAAAGGTGAAGACATTGCAAAACGCTCGACATCCCCAGCGGTTGGCGGAAAAGCGAACCAAAACCCGCCAAGAACAACCCCGAAGCGCGGTGCGCCACGCACCCTGGTAGTGATGCTGGCGCCACATGAAGATGCTGCTCCAGTGCGACAGTGTGTCGGACACCATGGGCAGGCGGTTGCGCCACGTCTTCACGATGGCCTTCATATCGTGCAGGCTGTTGTGGCGGCCCAGGCTGCCGGGCTGCAGGCCCGCGTGGATCTGCGCCGCCTCCTGCAGCTCCATCACCTGCTGCGCGGCCTGCAGCAGCGGCGTGTGCACGTGCGACACCACCTGCGGCAGGCGGCGCCACTCGCGGATCGCCTGCCCGCTCGCCGTCTCCACCAGGCGCTCCACGGCCGCAAGGTGCTGCTCCTCGGGGTGACACACGGCCAGGTAGCCGCGGTACATGTTCACCTTCCAGGCCAGCTCGCGCGGGCAGCTCGACTCCACCTGCGGACGCGGGGGGGGGGGGGGGCATCACGAGACGGGCACGTGGGCATGAGTTACCATCACTGGCAGCTCTAACAATAACGACGTCAGAACATTAAACTTTTAAAACTATTCGTTTTTTTTTTTATCAGGTAAGGCCCAATGAGCTATATGGCTCTTTTTCAGAAGCGATCTGGCCAGAAATGACAGCTCAAAAAAGTGGCTCTATCGTGTGGAAATTTATAGTAGCAAAATGAGAAACGCATGTTTCTCAATGTGGAGGGAAAAACCAGAGGATCAGGGATGGAACACGATCCTGCATACCAAGCGAGGGAGATACCATCTCGCCACCGTGGTGCCCCAACCACGGGCCGATGCCCAACTCTCCTTCATGAAGGGAAAAATTAAAGATGCCGGTAACAGTGGTGACATTGTGGCCATACAACTGAAACCATGGACCCATATAGTAAACCATAGATTATACACAAGCCACAGTGGAGAGATTGTGGGCATGCAACGCAACCTGCGGACCCATATACTCTCTCCTGAAGCCCTCTCGTGACGAGCAGACTGACATTGCCACTTAGCTCCTGAAAATATTGCCATGATGCGCAAGAATAGAATGACATATCTAACGTAACATAAAATAATTATTCGCGTCATTTTGCAGAATATAACAGCATATTCTTGGATCTTTCGGTAAAGTCACGTTGAGGGGAAACAATAAAATAATACAATATATAAAACAATAAAATTCTCACGACGTTTCGACTGCAACACAAACAGTCATCATCAGGTGCGAAAACCAACGGCAAGAACATTTGAAAGAAGTGGCGGTTTGTATTTATTTATTTTTAAACGTTAGCACCACGGATAGTGATCTGACAGTTTGTTTAGATGGGCGAGTCCATCTATGTTCGCAAAAGAGGAGGGGGGAGACGAAAAATTAATGTATGCTGTCTGAAAGCCACCGTAAGCGTGAACAATCAAATAAGACCCAAAATGGTTTATCAAATCCTTCCAATGATTGCTAAGCCAGAATCCATCTTCTCGGTTGAAATTGTCTCTGTGTTTGTATATGTGGATAGCCTCATGAACGAATCTCTCATGGTAGCCAGATGGCTTGCAAAGAACCTCTGTCTTGGAGAAGTCAATGTCATGTGAGCCTACTGAATTATAACAGTGATCTGCCACGGCCGAGGTGTTGGTCCTACCGTGTTTAAGGTCTGTTTTGTGTTCACGAATGCGGTCCGAGACATGTCGTTTGGTTTCTCCAATGTAACTACTACCACAGAGGCAACTTAGTTTGTAGACACCAGGGTACTGTATGTCCGGAATCACATCTTTTACAGACGGAACCAGATCACGGATTGTATGTAATGTGTTGAAACGGACCTGGATGTTGTGTTTATTCAAGATTTTGGAGATCTTTTTAATGATCCCCGCAATGTAGGGTAAAGTGATGGTTTTGAAAGGCTCCTCAAGAGGGTCCTTCTTCATGGTTTGAGTGATAGCTTTGCGGATTGTATAGCCGGAGTAACCATTAGCCTTAAGAGCTTGGTGTACGTGCTTCAGTTCACTGCCTATGTGTTCCTGGTCAGATATGCATTGGGCTCTATGGTGCAGAGTCTTGATGAGGTAATTCTTCTGTGATGGATGGTGGTGGGAATCCGGTTTCAGATAAGCATCCGTATGGGTAGCTTTCCTGTAGACAGAGTGGCTCATTGAACCATCAGGTCTCTTTTTTATTAGGTCATCCAAAAAAGGTAGCTTGCCATCTTTTTCGACTTCCATGGTAAATCTGATAGCTGGGTGTATGGAATTGATGTGGTCGAAGAATTGATCTAGAGCAGGCCGGCCATGTGGCCAGATGACAAAAGTGTCATCCACGTACCTCTTCCATAAGGTTGGGCGCAGAGTGGCAGTCTGGGTGGCGTCAGTCTCAAATTCCTCCATGAAAATGTTGGCTATAACCAGAGAAAGGGGGGAGCCCATTGGGGTGCCCTCAGTTTGTTTGTAGAAAGTTCCATTCCAAGTGAGGTATGTATTGGTTAAGCAGTGTCTCACCAGGGGGGGTACCTCAGTGTTTAGTCCTTGATGAACCAAGTCTTCAATGAATGCGATGGTGTCAGGTACAGGAACTTTGGTGAATAAGGAAACTACATCAAAACTGACAAGCAGGTCGTCTGGGGACAGGGAAATACCCTTGATTGTCGATACCAGGTGAGTAGAATTTTGTACCGCAGAGGTGTTTTTTCCAGTGAAAGGCCGCAGGATTTCAGACAGAAAACGAGCCAGTTTGTAGGTGGGGGAGTTGATAGTAGAGACGATGGGACAAAGGGGTGTATGTATTTTTGGTAAGCCGTATAATCTTGGTGGCCTGGCAGCAGACCTTAAACACGGTAGGACCAACACCTCGGCCGTGGCAGATCACTGTTATAATTCAGTAGGCTCACATGATATTGACTTCTCCAAGACAGAGGTTCTTTGCAAGCCATCTGGCTACCATGAGAGATTTGTTCATGAGGCTATCCACATATACAAACACAGACAATTTCAACCGAGGAAGATGGATTCTGGCTTAGCAATCATTGGAAGGATTTGATAAACCATTTCGGGTCTTAATTGATTGTTCACGCTTACGGTGGCTTTCAGACAGCATACATTAATTTTTCGTCTCCCCCCCTCCTCTTTTTCGAACATAGATGGACTCGTCCATCTAAACAAACTGTCAAATCGCTATCCGTGGTGCTAAAGTTTAAAAATAAATAAATCCACCACTTCTTTCAAATGTTCTTGCCGTTGGTTTTCACACCTGATGATGACTGTTTGTGTTGCAGTCGAAATGTCGTGAGATTTTTATATATATTTTATTATTTTATTGTTTCCCTTCAACGTGACTTTACCGAAAGAACCAAGAATATGAATTACTGCAGTCACGAAAGCTTTAAATCAAAATTTAATAGATCAGCAGTCAAGACACCTACTTCAAACATCTGTGTCCCCACATTTAATGCAAAAATACTAAATAATTTTTTGACGCAACCCATCGGCACCATGGCCTTCTGGGAGTGTATCATTTCTTCATCATCGATTCAGTACAAGACAATATCGGGACCCGTTTTGACATCAGCAGCGACAGCCTTTCTCGAATCAAAGTCGGTTAACTGCCAGATGTTACAGGCAAGGCTTCATTTCATACCTGGAGTGCCTTTGCATAACAGAGAAGAATTCATTTGTGGTCCTGCAATCTCCTGACCAGTGACGTTCAAGGAAAGGGAGTGGCAGCACACTGCACGATGTACCCACTGACCCGAGCTCAATTCCCAGCAGAGGCTATAACATCAATGGCGAGTGACATCTGCACCAATCCTGCATCCCACCTACTCCGCCCCCCCTCCACCACCACCGCCTTCCAACCAACACACTACTGACCAGCGTTGTACGTACGTCTGTATGTTGAGCGTCTTTCGCACCGTACAAAGCCAACCGTACTAACCGGAGGTGCGAAAGTGCGGTGAAGTGTGGTGTCGCGAGCCGCATGACCGACATTGTAGAGAGGGGGTGGGGGAGGCTTTCATTTCGCAGATGGGTTTATAACAAAGGTCTGAATATTATTACCTTCATTATAATTAATTGTAAACCAAAAAATATATTAACCAGCAGTATGCCTTCTGCACACACGAATGCGTACATGAAAATGAAGTGGTGTTAAGCTGGCTATTGCTGGGGGACATTAAGAGCTTCCGGAGATAATTCCCCGACTTGTGAGTGTAATGGCTAAATATACCTCCCACGATAAAAGACAATATTCGACACAGCCAATGGGGGCACCTTTGAAAATGAGCGTCGGCAAGCCTCGGAATATTTCCCTGCGTGAATATCCTTGATAAATAAGTAATTTGCGGTCAAAACGAATCCGCGCGGCAACCGCGCTTTTTGGTTATTTTTGTCACCGCGGCACGTGACGTCGATATTTAATAAATGAAATCGCTCACTTTGTACAACTTGAAAGAAAAACATGTTGAAGAAAAGAATAACCCGATATGGAAATGAGAACACGTGCCCACGCTCGGGAGGCGCTGTTCGTGGCCACCTGTTTGGGCCAGTTCGATCCCTCTTAGGGCCACCGGTTCATGAGCAAACTCTCAATACGTTCGTCAAAAACACAGTGGCCCTAAAAGAAAACCATATACGTATCAAGGTGAAGTTTCAGGCTACGGCTCTTCTTCATTGCCTTGGGCTATGGGACATTTTTGGAAATGGGTCCTCCCATCATAGCAGCGAAATAAATAAACAAATGCCTGTCCCTGCACATAAAAAAGTGTAAAGTATTTTTTCACATATCCCATCAGCCGCACAGCTTTCAGGGAGCACGGAATTTCAGCAGCATTTGGTCCAACACAAGAAAACTATGGGACCTGTTACAACACTCAAACGTCGCATCGGCAGAGTCAGGCGTGCTTAGCAGAGGGCTAATGAAAAAGGACCAATACGTGAAATGTCACCTCTTACACACATTTTTCTTTAAGGTCACGGTGTTATTGAGGAACGTGTTGGTTGCATTTGGGTGATTTGTGCTTACACACGACTGCCAAAGCAGCATCGCCAAGTAGAAGAGAAACTGCGTGAAAAATTTCACCACCAATAACCACAAGTAAACCACACACAAAGACAAAGATCCCCCGTATAGCCTTAACAGACTGTAGGGGCAAGTGCTGATAGCGAGCACCTATGAAGGCCGGAATGGTACACGAGGGTTTTGGGCGGCCTACACCACGCCCGACTATCTTCATCTCCCCAGTGGCGATGTTTTACACACCGCACCAGGTACTCATTTGAGGCTCAGTCGACCTAGGGGGAGGCCTAGGACAGATTCAGATAATTGTCACTGGTATTGGCCATGAGCGGGAATGGAACCTGGGTCGCCGGGTTAATAGCGCAGCGCGCTAATTGCTACACTACCGCTCCCAAAACCACATGCAGACACACATACACCTGGCATACGATGACAAAGATTC